TGAAAATCCATTACAGATTTCCATGGCAGTTTGTAAAGTCTCCATGACCGCTTAGCCCCCTGGATTGGGTAGTTCAAAGGTGGGTTAAGAAAGCCCAGGCTTAGTGAGAAATCTGATTTTAGATCTGAAAGTTTTGAAAGAAAATTTAACAGAATTTATTTTGTCTACAATTTGATAATTAGACATTCTGAAAAGAAAAGAGAAAACTATCTGGAAAAGGCTTTTAAACTAAGAAATGGAGAAACCAGGGTTAAAAATTTCACCCTGGATTAGCGCCAATCAGCCTTTGAACCACTAGGCCCTGGGTGGGGAGGGAGCATGTTGCCAAAGAACACAACGCATGAACTGGTCAGGTGTCAAATACAGACTTCTTGTACTATTCCCACAGCTAAGATCAAGTGTGTTATGACTACCAAAACTAGGTGGAAACCATGTTTTTAACAAATTGTACAATATCAGCAAATGCTTCATCTCCCTCAGCTGTTCTGGCTGGTCCTCCTTCAGTAGCTAATGTCACAAACCCATGAAAAGATTGATAGTTCTTGTGCTGGACTTCAATGTTTGCATCTCGCAATCGTTCTACATACAGGAAGCCTTCATCTCTTAAAACGTCAAAGTTTGCTGTAATAACAAAAGTAGGAGGTACTCCTCTAAAGTCTTGTGCCATTAAAGGAGATGCTTTAGATTGGGTCAAAGCTTCCAGTAGAACAGGTGGTAGTGTTGTTTTTGGTTGTGGAAGCCATGTAATGCCTGGTGTTGACTTTTTCAGATACCCCATATACTTTGTTTTGATGAGATGTTGTGAGTGATTCCCAGACAGAAGAATCTCCACGAGGTCTGCGGAGCCATTAAGGTATAGCGAAACAAAATTGACATGGTCTTCTTGAGAGAGTATGTCATTGACTGCATTGGCAGTGTATGATGGCAAGTTAAAGTCCAGGAACTGTAAAGCAGGATAGATGAGAATCTACATGAAGAGGAACAAGTCAGTTCATGAGATCCAATTTCAAATTGACACTAGGGCCTGAAATCACATCCAGTCTTAGGTGGTGGCAGGAAAGAATTCTTTAGCATCACTTTGTCATTCCTACTCTCTTAATCTTTTACCCTCTGATATCAGTATGCATATCCTTCATACCGTTCTGATCTACATATTTCCCAAGTTGCCGACAAGGAGAATTTGTTTAACAAACAAAAGCTTCTTTAACCAGTGATCATTTCCTTAATTCTTTTACAGAAGTTCAAATAAACACTTTCATATAGACCTGTGCTATTGCTGCGCAAACGGTGAAAAACCATGTAAAATCAAACTTTTAATCAAAAATCCTTCAAAAGGCTTCAAGAAAACTCCTAATCTAAACTATGTCTAATGCAACATTAAAACAAAAAATTGAGAAAAACTTAACCACATAGAGAGACTTTAACTTGGCGGCCTGATGTGGCACTGTTTAAAGATGTCACTACTACGCATGCACAAAAATTTAGATGTCCTGTAATTGAGAACCAAGGCAACAGCCACACATCCATCAGTCACAATAGTTATTTTTTCACATACTTGTGCTCGCAAATAATTCTGCCTACAATGCATCTCAGAGACTTCAGCCAGGTAATGAGAAACTGCTGCTGCCAAGTTTCCACCAGAACTGTCGCCAACCAACATGACTCGTGTGACATCAACTCCATGGTCTTTTCCATGGTTGAGGAGGCCAACAGCTACATTGTAACAGTCATTAAACTGTGTTGGATAAATATACCGAGGAGCTTGCCTGTAGCTAAAAAGGAAAAAAAGTAGGTCAGTTGGTGACCTTGAATGTTACTTTCCTTTTCAATAAGAGGCAAATTATGAGGTTAGAGATTTACAAGAAACATTAATTTACAATGCTCTCTTTCATTTTGTAGACCTCTTGTAAATTGTTTTAATGCATTTAAAAGGTCCCTGCTCTTGTAATTGCTTTTGGGATGTCTATAACAGTAAAGAGTGACAGCAGGATGAAGTAAAATCAGAAGAATGGCTCTGAGACTCAAAGAGGGTGTATTATTAAAAGGAGCAATAGCCCTTCACTTTCACAGGTGGTTAAAAAGTAACTTCTCCTTTAAACATCAACACATTATCCAGCAAACATATCATGAGAACAGACAAACTTATCTGCTAACTTCTCATGATTAATTTACAAGATAATACAATGAAGCAAGAGGGGAAGAGACACTACCAGTAGTAGGAGCTTATAGAAGGTGAAAAACTGAAGTGACTGCAGAAACAGTTGCAGTCCATTGCAAATAAATATATATTTAGCTGGCATACACTTTATAGTTAAAAATTGTTGGGGAAAAAAAGAATCAAAGTAACTTTGCTTTAATTAGCCAGCAGGGCCCAGTTGATCAGAAGCAGATTAGCACTAAACCAGAGTGAAAATTTAATGAAGGTTTCCTTATTTCTCTATTCAAGAGCCTTTTTGGAATAATTTTCCCTATTCTTTTTAGAGCATCCAATCACCAAATTGTAGACATTCAAAAAGAATTACCCTTAATTCTCTTTTTAAGCTTTCAGATCTGAAGTCAGATTTTAAACCAACCCTGGGTTATCTTGACCCAGCTTTGAACAACCCGGCCAAGAATTTTATTAGCCTGAGGTTAATAACAGAATAGCAGTTTCTTACTCCGCACTCACAACAATGACTTGAGCTGACACTGCAAGTCTACGGCAGAAGTCATCATATCCGTCTAGAGAGAAGAAGAACTTGCACATTAATGTTAGGATTATGACTAAAGGTTTAATTTGCACATTCACTTTTTATCTAAAATGTAACAGAGTTCTGCCTATCTGATTAGTTCTCCAGAAGCATTTTTCCATTCATTACATTGTTAATATTGTGAAAAACTAGAATATTATCAAATGTTTTTTTTTTAACTAAATTAAGCAAGTTCTTATCAATAAAGATTTAGAAATGCAAATTAAGCAAGACCACTTTTATAAACACAGGACCAAAACTAGCAGCTTTGCATCAGGGAGAGAGCAGGGTATTCAAGGTGTTAGTGTGTTACGGAATAGTACAACCTTTGGCAGAGAGCAGCCTTTTCTTTTCTGTCATGATGACGTAACTTACCTAAGCTACCTATGGTCCAGCCTCCACCATGAAAGTAAATTACTCCTGGTAAAAGAATTTCTTCGTTAGATTTGCTTCCAGGAGACTCATCAGTTTTATTCACCGGTTTGAATATCCTCACACGAACACCAAATATTTCAGTGTCATTTATTTCCAAAACATCAGAGTAACTATTGTTCTTGTACAATCCACTTGTAAATGCAAGCACTGATACGATATTTGCATAATAGTTGTCACCCAGTCGAAATAAAGAACCAATATAAGCCTGAAATAAGATCACTGTCAGTCATGAAGTGAATACTGATCTAGCAGTCCATGTAAGTTGTGGTGGGTTTGTTCTAAATTCTCAGTTTTATATCACGTTAATTGGCTGTAAGACTGAAGCACTATCTGTCTAAGCCCTTTTAATTTCATTAACTTGATCCTAAATTCCCAAGATCTAATTTGAAAAAATTCCAGATCAAGACAATGCAATCTTGCTGCCAATTTGTTTGTCAATTTTCATTATTAATTCTGGGAAGTGTCATCTGAATCATTTCTGGGAGCAATTCTGCCCAAATTATGACTTCAACTCTTACTGTAGTTAAGAGAGTAATTAACTGTCATATCTGGACTATATTAACAATCCTTTCGGGATTTCAGACCCTCTTTGCAATCACCAAATGGGTCTAAAATTGTGACTTGTTACAATGCGCAACATTGCTCAGGAACAACATTATTCTCATGAAGGCCACATACCTAAATAGGTAGAAGATGAAAAGTATAAGCACAAGGCTGTGCTCTAAGAAAAATTGAAGGGAGCCCTGTGCTTTGAAACTGTGAAATCCAGGGTGCCCAGCTTATTGCTTTATATGAAACAACTTAAGATTCCTGAGTCGCCCAAGAGCAAAAGTAAGGCACCAGGGGCCACCAGGCGCTGCTAGACCACAGCCCTGAAGCAGTTGCTTTAGTTAAAAGGGAATTGTATGTTGACCAAGCCAAAGATGGTTTCAAGTTTGTTTTACCACATGGTCATTTTGTCTCAGCCAAGAAGTCAATCCACTCTGGGTAATTTTTTAAAGCAGGTGGATTTGATTGATTGATTGATTAATCAAAAGGTTACAAAGCAAATTTCCCCAGACTCCTAAATTAAGGGTTGAACTGGAGATACACACATTCAAAGGCTTAAGCACTGCCTGCTCATCAAAATGAAAACAGTTCAAACTATTATTAAGATTGCATAGTGATGACATGATTTAACGAGTATACAGAAATTCATTATTACATATCTTGCAGGGTAGGTACTATGCTCTTCACTGGGACATGTTATGTAATTTTAATTACACAGGATAGGGTAGTACATATATATATTGGGTCAACTATACGGGGCAGGATTACATATATTATGCATTTTATATATGTTGTAGTTCAATTTTATCCTTGGTCCAAATTTTATTTCCTTTGTTTCAAACTCATTATCATACATTAACATGACCAAGAACAAAGGAAAATAAAATTTGAACCAAGTATAAAATTGAACCACAACATATACATTAGATTAGTTTAGTTTAGTTTTATATACATTAGATTAGCTTAGTTTAGGTGTCCTCATTTAGTGGGAAACTGCTATTGATTTGACACATTAATAAAGTTTATTATTATTACTATTATTATCATTATTTTTATTAATATTGATCATAGTCTGGGCTTCATGAAGTGGGCCTCATTAACTATGGGGTTGGTCATGGGTTGCAGGGTACACCCCTCCTACAACAAAACCTTTCTTTGGGTCTAACGTCATCATTGCATCTACAGACTGCGTCCTCATTCAAGAACATGCATTAAGAGGCAGTGTAAATTGTCTATGTGTTCAGAACTACAACTTCTGGAATGGAAGAGATCTAAACTGCTATGGAAGCCCTTATTAGATAGTTTTCCATACAAAACAGGTTAGTTAAATGAATGTTTGTTGCAAGTTGGAAGAGGTTGATGTCAGCTCAAGTCATTGTATGTCTCACGATGTAGAGTCAGGCTGTAGATCGTAAATGTAGTGATCGCGATGTTTCAACTACTATACTGCAGCTGCTAGTCTTCGTAAGGCGACGAGGTCGAAAGTTTTCGTGTCACTATAAATAGACTTGGTTTGGTGTTATTGGTGTGTTTTGGCGCGCTGTCACTGGTTAGTAAATCCTAAGCACATTGCGAACTTTTGAAACGTTAAGAAAACTTGTAACACTGGGATAAAAAACACATCCAACATTTTCGTCACCATAAACAGCTTTTGGCGAGACAGTCACTGTACTAACTGAAATATCTGAGTGATATTTAAGTAATTAAGTAATTAAATTAGAAACTTACCAGGTCCCTTGCTAACACGAAACTAAACCCAACCAACTTGAATTGCCATGTTGAATTTATTGGAAAATCGTCTGGTAATGCAACGTTGAATAATCTTTGGTATACTCTGTTAAAAGCAATAGCCAATAATACTACGAAAACACAGAGGAATACGACAAAAGTTCGCATGTTCTCGACAGCATCTCCTGAACCTGGTTACAATCAGACATTTACGAAGAACGTAGTAAGGCGGATAGCGAGGCGGGAATAATGGGGGGTCGTTCCCAATCCCACTCCAGTACCCGAAGTCCAGGTTCGTGACTAATCCAGAGTGGTGACTAAAATAATATCTTGCAAATGATAAGGCATTGATGTTAGGCCCCTAAGCCATCGAAAAACATAACACGTCCCATAGTACTTGGTATTGTAAGATTTATGGTTTCCCTTGTGTCCGAGTTAACCTTGTTCTACCACATTTATCCACCTCATCACTGGCACCTAGTTTTATCTTGTTGATCCCAGTCTAGGCTAAGTTTACCACTCAATCCCGTTGACCCAGATACAGGTAAACAGGTTAGAGCATGACTGGCTCAGGGTAGTTGTGGGTTAGGATGGTCTTAAGAAAGATATCATTCATTTTATCTCGAGTGTTGGACAGTGAATTAAGAGTACAAAACAGACAAACCTACACATACATACTTTATTCGTGTGGAGCTTATAAGAAGAGGCAACTTATAACTAGCTGATGTTGAAACACTAATCCATAAAATAAAAAGGAGAAAATTTTACAAGTTGTTTCCAAATTTGCATTGCAGCTCATGAAATCAGGTCTGGGATAGCATTTTTGTGTTCATGTTCATGTAGAAACAGGTAGCATCTTTCTCCGAACAATAAGGGAGTAAAGGAAGGGGGGGTCAAGTGCCTTGTCCCATGGAAGCCTTCAATTCGACTCTAATTTATAATCCTATAACCATTCCCAAATATACTTAGCTNNNTTTTTAAAAATCTTTGTGCATTTTCCTTTTCAAGTGCCAAAAGCAATCACTGAAAAAAATCATAGGGTCACCGGGTTAGTTTTCGAATTATTTAAGCCACAAGCTAAAAAATGCGTCTGAATAAGCCTCTAAAAGCGTTGCCATGGAAACTGCTAGTGACGAAATGACACCTATTTTTTGATAACCAATAATTATATAATTCAACCCCGTAAAAGTGTTCAACTTGCCTTGGTCAGTCTTTCTGTTGTATTCTTTCAAAGTTACAAACCATCAGAAAGATGAAAACCGGTACGAGCCATCTTAATCTCGCGCTTCTTTCGCATGTTTCTCTCGCGCGTGACGCAATAGTTATCAGTTCCTCGCGTGAGGAAACTAGTGCGAGCCACCTTTTAAGCTATGAAGAAATTGGAGGGATGACTTCTAAGATCCTGCCTTTAAGAATACTTGAATAAATCTCAATTGGCCAAAAACTGTTAGACATAGTGACAGAAAAAATAAAAAAATTTAAAAAGTTTTAATCTGCAACTATATCTGGACTTGTTTTAAAAATAACCAAAAACAGTGTTAGGGTTATGAACATCCTTTAACAAGTTGTATCTTCAACGAGATTAAACACTAAACTTTTCATTACCAACAGCAGAGACACAGTGGCCTCATGGTCAGTGCACTGAACTCTGGGTCAAGAGGTCTGGGTTCTAGACCTGGGCAGGTCAATGTATTTTGTTCTGGGGCAAAGCACCTTACTCTCACAGTGCCTCTCTCCATCCAGATGTATGATGTAGTTGGTAGTTGGTCCAGCTTTAGTGAGTGGTATATCATATGTAGCAGTTTTTTCCTTGAACACAATGCAAAGAACATGTTCTTGAATCATTTCCAGTCTCTTTCCATCAGATATATTGTACAAAAGTTCTTGACCAGCTGGCAGTAGGTTAAAGTTGGTAAAATTGCATAGCAGATGAAGTTTAGGCACTAAATTTTTTAAACAAGAAGTTATTCTGTGTATTAGTAGGGACCTTAAGCAGTCAGGACGGCAATGCCAAGGAAGACTTCGATTAAAAAATGAATTTCTACTCTTAGTTAGAATTTCAAAAATGGCTGCATGAGCTTAGTACTCATACGGTGTCACAGCTCAACTTCAGCATGACGTATAGAAGTAGCGTTGAGTCCCAAATGGAAATTAAAATAATTTGCCGTCGCGGTTTCGGTTCGCAAACGACGCAAATTTTGGCGATTTCACATTGTTGTTTTGCATAGGACGGCTAAGAAATGTACAAAGTTTCAAAACGCACGTGCTGAGCTATTGTTCTGCCAATTAGATCTCTTGTTTTTCCACGTCCTCGTTGCCGTCGCCGTCATGGTTGCTTAAGGTCCCTAGTAATTTGTGTATTTTGATGATTCTTAGGACACATTTCAAAGTATTTGAATGTGAAGTTTTCTACATATTTGCTTATTTATTTTTCACCTTTATAATTCTTTAATTTTGATCCCAATTGGCGGCAATGCTAAATACCCCCCTGATGCTTAAAGGTTTTTTTGTTGTTGTTGTTGTTGTGTTTATGAAAAGTACATGAAAAGATTAGTGAGTGAATCAATTAGGAACCATTCTTCTCATCAGGCTTAGCTGGGAAATTCAACTCTGCAATGGCTTCGGAACAGATTTGATTCACACAACAACCTTTTCATATGCTGAACCAAAAATACATTAATCATCTTTAAAACAACTTCTTAAAGTAGTTTTCTAGGAAATATGTTGATAAAGGCTATGACAGGTAATCAGGATTGGCTCCTAGATACACCAGCATGCTTACTGGACCCTAAGTTGGTCCAAGTTTGAAATTAAATCTAAATCTGGCCTTGCATCACTATTGCACTTATAACACACTAAAATACAGTAATTTTACTTTTATTGTATAACAGGCTACCTACAGTATACTCTAGACTTCTTACAAACATCACAAGATCTATTTGAATTCTTACACATTGACCTTAACTCTTTAACTTACAGAAGTGGTTAACATGTATCTTCTCTCTGAAATATCCATACATTATCCAGCAAAAAGGCAGTGAGAATACTCAAAATTAACTGGTAGAAGTTGTTACCTTGACTAAACACCAAATTCTTACAACCAATTTGCTAGAGGGGAGAATTAACAAGCAGATCTTGGGAGTTACAGGGTTAATCATTAAATCAAATTTAGTAAATCTCTTAAATTTATTCATCACTGTGTTGCAAGTGACTACATTATGAGATAAACAATGATAACTTACTACAGTTGCCTTTTTTGACTGTCACTTTAAAGTAACTCCAGAATGATGCCAGTACTTCTTGGCTCATCAAGCACCAGGAATATGTTACACACTGACATTCTTAAAAAGCATTGAGTTTCCCTATCTGACTGAGACAAAAATAGGGTATTTACTGCCTACACAGAGTTAATTCATGTGTTTGTTACATCACATTTAGATTATTGCAATGCTCTTTAGTATAAGCTTCCGCAATATCAATATGATTGACTTCAAAAAGTTCTTAATGCGGCAGCTCGGGTTACATGCTTAATTCTAAGTCTGCTCATATTACTCCCATACTTAGGGAACTTCACTGGTTGCCGGTGAAATTTAGAGTAGAATTTAGGATTGCGCTTTTAATTTTTTAAAACGTTGAATGGCCTAGCACCACAATATTTATCTGAACTACTTGTTGTAAAGCCTAAAACTAGATACAGCCTGCAGTATGATTCTGAAACATTGCTGCTAATCCCTAGCGTGACACAGAAGACTTTTGGAGATCGAGCCTTTTTCCATGCTGGACCAACAGTATGGAATGCTTTGCCATCTAGTCTTAGAGACTGTAGAAACATTGACTCTTTTAAAATACAGTTGAAGACTTATCTTTTTAAGAAAGCTTTTAATTTGTAATTTTATATTCTTATTATTAGTATTATTTATGCCATCTAGCTTTAGATACTATATGAACTTTGACTTTTTTTAAGTACAGTTGAAGACTTATCTTTTTTCTTAAGAATGCTTTTAATATTGTACAGCACTTTAGAATATTTTAATAGTTAAAGCGCTATATTAAATGTAATACATTAGTATTTTTCTATACACAGTTCAGCTATTTTTGCTTTCCTATCTATTTAATCATCTTCTCTAATCAATGGCCTATTAAAAGCCTTTATAGCCACTTCCAGGAGTGTAAAAATAACAATCATAAATTCTAGCTAAACTAATGAACACAGACTTACTTATGAAGAACAGACTCGGTTATTTTATCAGGAATATGGGAAATCTTTTCAACTAACTGCAAGGGGTTGTTACTAACCAGGCGCCCATTGCTCAAAAGTCCCAGTAACTTAAGGGGCCTGAAGTCACGTATTAAATCAAAATTTAAAGGATCGGAAAGCAGTTCTGGCACCCAAACCAGTCCTTTTTGTTTCTTTAGACAATAGTTTTATTGTATCATTTTCAAAACTTTTGAAATCCCCATCTTGAAAGAAAACAGAACAGCTTTACAGGCCCATTGAGTTACCAGGACTTTTAAGAAATGGGCCCCAGGAGATGAAACAAAAGTTTCACTGGTATAACCCCTCTAATATTCTTATATTTCATTTGGGCAAAAATTTAGTTTAGATTGTCTTCCTGCCAATTTAACTTATTGTTCATTTCATGTTTGCAAACTGTCAGAAACTACTGGTTACAATTTTACCTAAATTCTAGTTCAAAGTAGCAGACACTCATCTTAAATTAAATTAAAACTAAATTAACTGAGCAACCTAAAACCATTTGTGTGAGTTTGTACCTTCAACCAGTTGAAGATGATGCAGACAGTTTTAACAATTTTTTTAACAATACTTTATTTCAGAACAACATGTAAATACATAATTATTAAGAAAAAGGAAACCCAGAGGTTGGCCCGATATCAAGGGTCTCCTATTTATGTGAAAAATCTTACAGAACTAGTTAATAAAAAATAAAAAAAGTCAAATAAGAAACAGCTAAATATCAATTATTAAATGACGATTCAATAAATATTCATATGTTTCTTCAATTTTGATTTAAACTCACGAACGTTAGGGCTGTCACAAAAATTAAATAAATTAATAGGAAGATTATTCCAGGGTTTGATAATTCTGACAAAGAAAGAATTTTTGTAACAGTTCAGTTTTGCGAGTTTGAGTTGTAGTTTATATGGGTGGTTAGATCTCGATTTAGTGTTTTTACAAAGTTCAAAATAGTCGCTGAAATTCAATCCATTTAGATT